AAGAAACAGAACGAGGAGTTGATCAGTTCATGTACTGACAAGAAGCATTGTGATAGGAGGAGAGAGCAAAGTGACAGAGAGATGAGCTCATCACTGTGCTATTTCTCCTTTTAGTGAGTGGGAAGAAAGAGAGGGTCCAAGAGGTTTTAAGAAACTGGTGCCTTCCCCTTGTGGCTTTCCCAATTGGAATGTTCACTATTGCATAGGTAAGAGGTTGTAAGGTATTAGTGGCCTAGATCGTGCTTCTCCGGCTTCTGTTCCGGCTACAGCAGCCAGAGAAAATGACAGCCTGCAACCGGAAGTGACAAAATCATTGTTGCTTCCGGTTTCAGTGGTCAGAGGGGAGATCAGGCGCTGGAAGTGTGCTCAACTCCCTCCGATCCAGCTGCCAACACCCGCTATGCACGTTCTCTGCCTACATGGGGGACAGCAAAGCCCTACAGCCACATAAACACTTGTATGTTAATGCCAGCAGTCATTTACAAAAGACGCTACCAACGGTTACAGCAGCCCTGACCTTGGCACAACCACTTCAGCACCTCACCATTTATATATGTATTGTGGCTAGAGTTGCCACCTGTCCCGGATTCAACTTGGCAGCCCGGGTTTTGAGTCCTCTATGTGCTGTTTCCGGGTTTCAGGCCAGCTGAAAACCAGACAGCACATACAGGACTCAAAACCTGGACTGTCCAGATGAATCCGGGACGGGCGACAGCCGTAATTGCGGCCCTCAAGTGGTCAAACAGACTTTTAGGCCTCATTCCCCCCCAGGGAGGCTGAGCTGTGTTAATCAGCATTGATCAAAGCAAAGTCAAAGAGAAAACAATTGCATTCTATGTGCTCTGGTTACACCATACTGGTGCGTTGGTGTGCTTTGAGTAAAAATGCAATATGCTTTGTTGTGCATAGAGTTCAATAAAAAAAAGTTTTACCAACACATCACATCTGCCCTACACAATGTATGAACACCAGCACACGTGTTATAAAAAGCATTTCGAGCACAGGCCGGCATAAACGGGTCCTCCAAGCATATCTAAACCCAAAAATAAAAATGTTATATATTGCAGCTTACTAATGTTTATATGTGGCGGCCGCATTCGTTTGCTTTTTTTAGGCTTTTCACCTTTATTATCACCTTTGGTGATCTGGTCAGTAAGTCGAGTGTTTTTCAACTTCCTTTAACACGCCAAGCTGTCCAGCAAAAGTGGCAGATAGAGGGTTGGGACAAACCATTTACACTAACAGGGGTGCCCACAGTGGACACCTTTCATTCATATATGCAAAACTTTTATCCCAAAAGTAAAAAAAACAAACTGTTGCTATAACTGCTTAAAAAGTGTTATCTGGAGTTCAGATTAAATTTATTAGCCGAGTCCATCTAAATCTTCTAGTAGATCTAACACCCCCACCCCCCATGCCCCCCACAGGGTGACAATACCGCTGTCCAAGGGGTGGCTCCATTATTCCGCCATAGAGTGGAGACACCCTAAAGGTGGCCATACACCTTTACAGTTATCGTACAATTTTTTTTTGCGCCGTCATCGAACCGTTGTTCGATTTCCGCACGACTGCCCCATCATGCACAGACCAATGTGGATTTCAATGATCGGTCGTAAGCAATACTAACCAAATTTCGTCCATCGTCAGAACGGATATTTGTTTGCGCATGTGCAGTGTTCATGTTGCGATTTTTTGGGGACGAAAAGTTCACTAATCCATCGATTTTGGAACAATTCGAAATTTTTTTTCCAGCCTCACCAATCGGTTCAGCCAGTTTTACAGTAATTGTGATCGTTGACTTCCCATCAACTGCCCGATTACCGTACAAAAATCCAATTTTCTTCAGAAATCGAACGATAATCGCAAGGTGTGTGGGCACCTTTAGGCATGAAGTGGGTCACCAGGCGAAAATAAAGGGCACAAAAAACAAAAAGAGGAAAACTAGTGCAACCATCACATCCAAGAATCCGGTTTTTGGGTTTAGAGACCCTTTAAATCTCTGTGAGTGAGAGACAGGTTTCCCCCAGTAGGTACGCTGACTTCTGAGAGTGGGTTCTACAACGCAGGAGTGAAATCCGCCAGTCTTACCGCTGCCGCCGCGGCTAATTACAGTTTAATCTGTCAGAAAGCACAAAGTAAATTCTCCGGCTCACACGCGGTATATTCACCTAATTACTTTTAAATTTAGTAATAACGAGCAGAGTCATTACTGAATCCCCATCCACACAAACACACGTCTTCTAATAAGAACTCGCACATTTTTGTTACATTTCATCTCTCTTTATTTAAACCTTTTTTACAGGAATCTCCGGGGACTCCAAACCTTTTATTTTATGTTGCTGAATATTCTTCTTTAACCACCTCCAAGCAGGCCATTGTAAAAAACAGCCGGCCGGGAGCTCTCTAGATCTGAACGGGTCCGCTCAGCCACGCCCACTCGCGGGAAAGACCCAAAATTTAAAAACAGGCAGCGATGCCTGATAGCCGGCGGATCGCTTGTATAAGCTGCCGGCCTGTGTCCCCCCCCTCCCAGTGTTACGATTGTCCCAGGCTCCGCTGTGCCTGGTGCGAGCCCGGGACCAGCATAGTGCCTCTGTCACAGGGGATCAGAGGGAGATCGGTACACGATCTCCCTCCGGTCCCCTCTCCGCTGTCAGAATGCGGAAGTCATGTATATTACATCCCTTCCGCATTCTTGTGTCACTCTCCAGCTTCAGACGCTGGAGAGAAGCTGATGAAGCCGTTCTCTGCTTCATCAGCTTCTTTGGGGGTCCCTAGGTGACATTAGGAGTCTTGGAGATCCCTAATGTCTCCATAAAGAGGACCTGTCAAACCCTCTTTGCTATCACAAAGGGGGGTTCTTAGCCCCCTATGTGATAGCAATAAAGTTAAGTGAAAAAAAAAATAGGGAAAAAAAATTAAAGTTTCCAAATTTTTTTTAAAGTTACACATAAAAAAAGAATTTAAAAAAAACACCAAATTTTTTAAAAAGATCCCCACCCATACATACACGCATCCAAACCTGCAAAAAGGACGATTGCGCCCATTACGCCGCACATGGCTGCCCCCCGCTCTACATGGGATAACTGCTCGTTTTGGTCTAGGGCTGAGTTTCTCAAACTTTTTCAGTCACAGCACCCTGTGGGGGCCCATTCACACCTGTTATCCTGCGATTCGTTTTTAACAGATGCTAAAGAGGAAGGGCACCGAAAAATGAATGGGTGTCAATGGGGCTAGTTCACACCAGTCTGTTCCGTTGCGTTACACTGCGCTGAAAAAAAAAAGTAACGTAACGCAACGGAACAGAGCGGTGTCAACTAGCCCCATTCACACCCATTCATTTTTCGGTGCCCTTGCTTTAGCATCCATTGAAAAATTGATCACAGCGCCACAATGCCATATACTTATCCTAGATAGGGGTCTGGTATGCATTTATAAGGGGGAACTTCACACCAAAAAAATAAACAAATGACTTGGCATTCCCCCTTTCCCATCAGAACTCTCCCCCCCCCACTTCACATTGGGGTCATCACTTCACATCAGAGTCCTACCTTATAGGTAGTTAGAGGGTGGGGGTGGAGCAGGTCTGACTGGAAGCATAGTTTGCTCCTCTTCTAAATGATGGGAGAGGTCCTTCATGAACCCCCCCCCCCCCGATTAGCATCATGTGTCTCCATGGTGTTGGTGGTCGACTTGCTTGCATCGTGGACATACGTGACAAGTGCAAAAATTTGAAGGCACCCCTGACAAAGCCAGAAGGCACCCCAGGGTGCCATAGCACCCTGGCTGAGAAAGCCTGTGCTAGGGTGTAATGCAGGGGTAATGCAGGGGTGCCCACAATTTTTAGTGTTAAGATCTACTTTTCAAATGACGAGCTACATGAGATCTACCAATGAAAAGAAAAAAAAAACTCCCTCACTCTCAATTTCCTGGCTCTCTCTCCACCGGTATCCACCGGAAAGGTGTCGGCGAGCTTGGCTCAGCAGACTCAGGCTAGTAGGTAATCATGTGTGCATAGCGAAATAAATATACCAAAATGGAATAAAGGGGCCGCCATTCACACCCCTCGTGATCTACCAGCATCAGCTTTGAGAGCTACTGGTAGATCACCATCTACCTAATGGGCACCCCTGGTGTAATGTAATAGGAATGAAATACTCACCTGAACTTTTGACACGCCTGGCTGGTAGACCGGTCCCAGCAACCTCTTCTTTCCTGGGCTCCAATGGTCTAAGGATCCGTGATCTCATCAGATCTAATTGAGTGTATTAGATGGCCCCACCCTACTGCTGGCTCTGGCTGGGCATAGTTCTTCAGGCTCTGCCTTGGCTCCGCCCTACTGCTGGCTCTGGTTGGGCCTAGTTCTTCAGGCTCTAGTTTGGCCCCACCCTTCTGCTGGCTCTGGCTGGACCCAGCTCTTCGTGCTCTAGTTTGGCCACGCCCTTCTTCTGTCTCTGGCTGGCCTAGCTCTTCCGACTCTAGTTTGGCCCCGCCTTTCTGCTGGGCCTAGCTCTTCAGGCTCTGCTTTGGCCACGCCCTTCTGCTGGCTCTGGGAGGGCCTAGCTCTTCAGGCTCTGATTTGGCCCCCGGCCTTCTGGTGGCTGGACCCAGCTGCTCTTCGTGCTCTAGTTTGGCCCCGCCCTTGTGCTGGCTCTAGCGCTTCAGGCTGTGCTTTGGCCCCGCCTTTCCCCTGGCTTCGGCGGCTCGTGTGGCGCTACTGCGCGCTCCCTGCCCAGGCCGTCCCGTGTGTGCCTGCCGCTGCGCACGTCACGTGACGGGAAGCCGCACAGGCCATAGCTCGGACATCTATCGTATCCCTCTCACTATTTTGCTGGACGCAAAATAGTGTGGACGGTGTGAGGTGAGTGTGCGGGATGATTTCTGAGGGAGGAGGAGGGGGGAAACATTATATATAACATATGTCTGTATGACCATAGTGAATTCTCTGATATTTTACAGACGCAGCTCTCCTCAGGATGAGGTCAGACGGACCGGGCCGGGCCCCTACTTCCAGCATCGCAGTGAGTGTCCTCAGACAAGTTTCCTGTGGTGGGAGTCATTCTCCCTCACTGTGTACCAATGTGACCCCCCGAGTATCCTCCATCCGACCCCCGGAGTCTGCAATTGGGTACACCAGGTCTGAGGCCCTGTTCACGTAGTGGCATTTTGTTGCAAGACAAGATAACCCATTTATTTTTATGGCCCCCGTTCACACATGAGCGTCGCGCATAGGAAAACAGCTTTCGCTCAGAAAAGTACCTGAGCTTCCTATTGACAGACTACAGCGCATTTTCTTCCCATAGACTCAATAGGAAAATGTGTGACACCGTTATCGTTGTGTGTCTTTGCATGCGTTTTACACACGTTTGCCCATCTACATCTGCGTGTCACAATCTGTTTGCAAAAAAAACATGTGCAAAACACATGGAGAAATGTGCTGCAAAAACGCTGTCGCCTAGGTGTGAACGCAGCCTTAATGGGCCGCCTAGGTCACCAAAAAACATTTTTTGTGTTGCGCCACAATGTGTGGTAGTGCGTTTGCCTGTTTTGTGTTGCTCCACAAAGATGCGTTGGAATGTGATGAAAGCAGGAGGCACAGAAACCGAAATGACTATATGACACCCCTTGGATTGCACTGTCAGGCTCTGGTGGTATTTGATTAACCCCTTCCTGCTAGCTGTACACTTAAATGTGGCAGCACTGCGGGTGGGCTTTATAGGTGTACAGCTGACCCTGTTGCTCTGTGCTGGGAGTGCGTTCACCCGGGATCTCCAGCATAGAGACTGGCCTGTCATCACTCACCAGAAGGACAGGCTCCTGATCATGTGACACCCAGCACCTCCAGCATAGGGACTGACCTGTCACTGGTGGGACAAGCTCCTGATCATGTGACCCTAGGCACCTCCAGCATAGAGACTGACCTGTCACCAGAAGGACAGGCTCCTGATCATGTGACACCCAGGGCCTCCAGCATAGAGACTGACTTGTCACCACTCACCAGAAAGACAGGCTCCTGATTATGTGACACCCGGCACCTCCAGCATAGAGACTGACCTGTCACTGGTCGGACAAGCTCCTGATCATGTGACCCTAGGCACCTCCAGCATAGAGACTGACCTGTCACTGGTCGGACAAGCTCCTGATCATGTGACCCTAGGCACCTCCAGCATAGAGACTGACCTGTCACCGGTGGCATAGGCTCCTGATCATGTGACCACAGGCACCTCCAGCATAGAGACTGATCTGTCACGGGTGGGACAGGCTCCTGATCATGTGACACTCGGCACTTCCAGCATAGAGACTGACCTGTCACCGGTGGGACAGGCTCCTAATCATGTGACCACAGGCATCTCCAGCATAGACTGACGTGTCACCACAGAAGGATAGGCTCCTGATTATGTGACACCCGATTATAGTGATCACATGATCGGGAAGCCCAACAGTGGCTGGCGACTTTCAGAACCCCCTTATGGGCCGACAGGAGCCAGCGGCATGGCTTTTTTTTAAAAGCAAAAGACACATAAGTACCTTTTAATTTTGATGGTTATCAGCTGCAAACACTGTGTCTTAGAACCGCAACCAGTGCCACTGTCAGAATACAACTTGCACAGTGGGAGATTCATTCATTTGTGCTGTTATAATGGATGGAACTATCTGTCGTATTTTTTTTGTTGAGGCTGAACAAAAATAATATACCTGGGTGTACCCAGCTTTAATTGGGCTCTGCTGTATTGCCTATTGCTGCCAGGCTTGTAGAGGAGGTGTTCCAGGAATGTACAGGAGGATGCGTACACAGAGAGTTACTTCCAGTGCTGCAATGCTTTTCCACTATACTGTGAGTAGGCAGGTGACACAGGAACCTGAATTTGTAGTAGTGTATATTGGTGTCACCTCTCCTATCATATATGCAACATGGCAACAAAAATCATAGCTCGGTAAAACAGGTTTACATATCTGTATTTCAATTGTGTATTTAGCTGTTTGGATAAGAGCTCATTCACACCATGTCTGTTGAGCTGTGTTGATCTGCATGATTAACTCTCAAGCTCAATGCAAGGGCACATTTAGTATTTGGACTGTTCACACCATAACGCTGCATTGAGGTGCATTGTGGTGTACGCCATAAAAATGTAGACTGTAAGCTCCTTGAGTGCAGGGACTGACGTGAATGTGCACTGTCTAAGGCGCGGTGTCAATTGTTGGCGCTTTATAGATACCAATAATAAAATATGTGAATTTTTACAGTGCAGTGCCCAGTAGAGTGGTGCATAGAGTTGAATGAAGTGTCATCTTGTGACACTTCAATAAAGTTGGAAAAATAAAAAAAAGTTAGAGTGTGACCCATTGTGACACCGGATTGTACCGCTTCTCCACGTTGCACACAAGTGTAATTATTTTAGAGTGCAGATTGAACAAGCCCCGAGTCTATTCACTGAGTTGTATCTTTTATGAGTAGAATTTTCTGCCTTTGCTGTACACCAATATCTTCCAAAATTTCAGAGCAAAATCATGTCCTTTGGCTTGGGCCTGAAGATAGAAACCGTGTCTCCATTCCAGGGCCTTTTTCGCCCATTTGTGGGACAGCCTTGTCAGTCGTGTAATCCCAATAGTATGGTGAGTGATGGCACTTGAATCTGTTCCTCCTGCTTGGCATTAGTGTGATTTTACAATATGGATCCTGCTCTCTTTTGTAGGAAAACTTCTTCTACAAGAGGCACTCAAGACTTGGATTCTGCAACATCATCCGAGTCACTGAGGAGAATACACGGTACTACACAGCACAATATACATTGATTTAGAGCGAGATCAAAAGTACAAGTAGTTGCTTCTCTTTAATATTTTCTAAAATCTACAAGCTGTAATGGAGAGGAAGCTTCTTTTATTCAGCCATGTAGGAAAGCGGTGGGTCCGGACCTGGACCTCTGATATACCATGGTTCCGCAGAAACCAGCACAGAATAAAGGGTTCACAACCTTTTTTCTTCATGTCAGGATGGCTGTGCAGCTTCTCTACCACAGCACCTGCCAGATTAGGGGAGCTAGGTTCCTGAGCACAAGTGAAACGTCTCTGGACATTTAATTTAAAGGGAAATATACAGGTTACCATTGTAGCTTGAATCACTGACACAGAACATGTATGAAGCCAGTAAAGTAAAGTAAGAATCTGATCTTCTTGTTCAGATCAGTGCTTTGGAAGTATTGAAGCTGTTGAATGGGTATGAAAGCCAGGAAGCTTCCCTTTTTAGTAACAGAAGTCTGTAGTGGTACTTTACATAATCATGGAGTGGTGATTATACCTAGCTCTGCCTCTTTTTTTAAATGAGAAGTATTGGGAGAGTAAAATATACTCTTCCAATTACTTAAGTCGCTGTGTGACACTGCAGCTGTCACACGCCGACTCTATAGATCAAGAGCTGAGTGATCTTGATACCGCTGATCGCTCCTCAGTCGTCTCCCTTCAGAGAGCGGTGATTGTCTCCACGCAGGGATTCCCCCCCTTCCCTCTCTATTCCTACAGTGCACATTGGAGGGACAGACCAGTTAACGGGTGGGCGTGGCGAGCTCTAGAGAGGCAGAGCCATCTGTCACGTGCAAGTGCACATATCCTTCCTGCCCCTCCATTGTGCTAACCTATCTGCTCTGTCCAGATCATATCTACCTTGCAATCTTGCCTGTGGCTTCTGGGGTTTGTTCACATCCGCTGCTGATCTTCCATGCGCTGGCCACTCCTGCACAGTAGCTTCCCATAGAGCCCTATGGGTCTGTCTTCCGAGGTAGGAGACTCGGGGGGGCAACCCCATATTAATCTTTAAAGCTCTTACACACCAATAAAAACAACTTTTGAACTGCCTTTGGCATTTTTGGCATAGAATAGACCGGTTCTAGAGAGAGGCTATAGAGAAGGTTCTAGAGAAAGACTATAGAGAAGGTTCTAGAGAAAGACCTATGACACTTGTCACTTCTTCCTGATACGTAGATATCGCGGCTGGTTAGTCAGACGACTATGCTGTGTCATCTTTATATGGCAGGAGTCAGTTGACCAGAATACCTGCTCTGAATTCACAGACGCTATCTACAAGCATCCCAGGTAATTTTTTCATTTATTTGTTTTTTGGGGACATTTTCTCGTTGAGCTTTTTTTAACCGCTTGAAGACCAGGTGTTTACACCCCCTTCCTGGCCAGGCCATTTTTCAGTACTCAGTGCTGCGGTACTTTGACTGACATTTATTCTGTCATGCAATGCTGTACTGAAATTAATTTTATACAATTTTTTGGGGACAGATAGAGCTTTCTTTTGGTGGTGTTTAATCACCACTGGGGTTTTAATTTTTTACTATAATTATGAAAAATTACTGAAATTCTTGTTTACATTGTTAGGAAACAATGATTATTACCCATATTTTTTTGTAAAAATATAAAAAACGGGGTCACGTCGGGTAAATAGACACCAAACATGTCAAGCTTTAAAATTGCACGCACCCGGGAAATCGCAGAAAACTATCATACCCAAAATTGGCCATAGGCCATAAGCTTTTACCGCTCTTCAGTTTAGTGTTATCAGTGATTGATGGCCCTAGAATTATTGCTCTCACTGCGACGTTCGCGGCGATATGTAACGTGCGGCGTAATGGGCGCAATCATCGTTTTTGCGCGTATGTGCCCCCGACGCATGTTTGCATGCGTGTATGTATGGGTGGGGACTTTCAAAAGTTTTTTGTTTTTTTATTCTTTTTTATGTGTAACTTTAAATTTGGCGGGGACTCTAATTTTTTCTTTTCCTATTTTATATTTTTCTACTAAACTTTATTGCTATCACATACGGGGGCTAATACCATACAAGCGATCCGCCTGCACTATAGCCGGTGGATCGCTTGTATGTCAACAGGCATCGCTGCCTGTTTTTAAATATCAGGCATTTCCTGCTCGCGTGCGCCCAGCGGCGGGGTGGCGTGTCTGAGTGGACGTCTAAAGACGCCCGCTCAGATCTAGAGAGCTCCCGGCTGGCCGTTTTTCTACAACGGCTGGCCGGGAGGTAGTTAAACATAGTGAAAAACACTAAATCATTACAGAAGATTCCTGGGCACAGGGGTACTCTGCTATATAACCATTGACAACAAAACTCCATCCATTTGTAGCCCTACTAGGAAGTACATTGTACATTGCTGGTAATTTTATCTAGATGCCAATTGTTGGAGAAAAAATGTAACCACAAAGGGCGTAGGACATTCTTTTCAGTCAGAGTGGTAAGATTTTGGAACTCTCTGCCATGAGCAGTGGTATCAGCATAGAGTATTGAATCGTTCAAAAATCAATTAGATACCATCCGAAGAGATCGTAACATACAGGGGTACAGGTACTGTTAAACCTAAGACCACACGTAGACACATAAACACACTACACACACACAGACACACAAAGGTTGAATTTGATGGACCTTTATTCAACTTCAAATACTATGTAACTACCGTATGTAAAAGAAGCAAGGTAGAAACTCTGTGAGTGAATATCTCCATGTAGCACTGTACAGGTTCATTTTGCATACTCCAAACTCCAACACAGTAACTATTAGGGATGCACCGATAACGGTATTTTGGTACCGAGTACGAGTGCGATAATTTTTTTTTCGGTACTCGACGATACCAATTGCAGAGTAACGAAAGTCCCATTCAGGAAGCCAGGTGGCGTGTAATGACTCGCCACCTGGCTTCCTGATTAGCTGGGAAGCCGGGCAGTGTGTACAGACTCGCCACCTGGCTTCCCGATTAACAAACATGAGATTACGAGGGAGCATGAAGCCAGCTTCCCGGCCAATCAGAAAGCAGGGCATTGCGTCATTACACGGCGCCCGGCTTCCTGATTGGCGAGCTGGGTACCGGAGGAAGGCCGTGTTTTTGCTGGAGAGGCCCCGCGGGTGACAGGCTGGACATACTAAGGTGAGGTTACCTTACCTCACGAGGCCAGCTTCCTGATTGGCCAGCTTCCCGACCAATCAGGAAGCCGGGCAGCATGTCATTGCACGCTGCCCGGCTTCCTGATACCGCAAGTACTCTTGCTAGGCATCGGAGCATTTGGGCGAGTACTCGGCACCGATATCGGTGCATCCCTAGTAACTATATTTCGGGGCAGATACCTGACTTAACCACTTGCCGTCCAGAGGGCATTCATAAACGGCCAGACAGAAGCTTTCTAGATGCGGGTGGGTATTTTAAAACTTCCTTGCCCGCCCCCGATTACGCACAATGCCCAGCAGGGCGGCTCTGTGATCGGAGGGAGATCATGCCAGCATGTAAAAAAAAAAACTTGTCTCACCACTAAGGTTAACAACAGAGGTTTGGAGACACGTCTTCTGCAGAAAATGTGAAAGCCGCGCCAAGCAGCTTTCACATTTTCTGCAGAAGACGTGTCTCCAAACCTCTGCTAACCTTAGTGGTGAGACAATTTTTTTTTACATGCTGGCTTGTGAGTGTGCCATGATAACTTTCTACTGTTTTACTGTTTAAAGCCCATTTCGTGTACACCTTGCTGTATAGCTGGTGACGAATTGTTGAGTGCGTTTGTCATTTGTTTTGCCGGAGGGAGATCAGCACTCGATCTCCTGCTGATCTCCCCTCCAGTCCCTGAATGCGGGAGTGATGTATATTACATCACTTCCGCATTCTCTGGCTTCTATAGCCGGAGAAAAGCTGGTGAACCAGATCTCTGCTTCATCAGCTTCTTTGGGGGTCCCTAGGTGACGGAGGCCTTAAAGACCCCTGATGGCTCCATAAAGAGGACCTGTCACATCCTCTTGCTATCACATACGGGGATTCTTAGCCCCCTGTGTTTTATTAATAAAGTTAAGTGCGAAAAAGAAAGATTTACACGAATTGCTGCACATCGTTGCTGCTAGTCACAGTGATACTTGTGTTTACACGGATCGGTGACACTTTTTTGCTTTTCACCTTCATCTGTCTTTGCATTGAAAGTTGATCAATAGGTACCTGAAAAGGGCCTATTTTTGTGTTTTTGTCGGCTACTGATCATAGCACTAGTAGTGCCATCAATCAATGCTGAAAGTATGTAATTTAAGTGGTACATTTTGCAATTCTGTGTTTTGCAGTCTGATAAGGACTGAATTATGAATCTTGAAATGTAACTGGATTACACATGACAATAAAGACACTGGCATTACACTATACCATGCTCTACCCCCTTGATGTTATATTATAAAACACCATACTCTTCACAGCTAAATATCATGTTCACATGCACTGCATTCTGAAAATTAAGATATTGTGATTGCTCAATTGAGAGGTTGTTATTTTTATTTATTATTATTATTCTTTTTAATTATTATTATTCAGAATTTATATAGCGCCAACAGGTTTTTTTTTCACACTTTGATTTAATCACATGAAGTATTAATATAATCCATGTACATCATGTGTCTTTTGTTATCCTTTGTTGTTTTTGCAACAGCGTCCAGTCTGCAGTAAATGAAGAACATGACAAAGAAAAACACGTAAAACCATTGAGCTGTGCTAATATTCCAGGCAGCAGTGGTCGGGTGGAGGTGCAGAGGATTCTGGGACACATCCAGCAGACTCTATCTCCATTTTTTATAAGGTAATTTCTGCTTCCAATGAAGAATCCTAACTCAGTTCAAATGCAAGATAGTGTTTTCAAATACGTTGTTGATTCAATCATTATTATATATATATATTTTTTTTAACACCTTACCTATTTACCTTGCCATGACATCTGCAAAATGTGCCAACCCGGTATCTGAAGTCCTTACAGCATATGTGGCCAACCTATCCTCTCTAGTTTCATACTAAGGCTTTGAAACTATTCACTATACTTCTAAGATATTTGATATTATTATTATTATTATTACAGGTATTTATATAGCGCCAACAATTTACGCAGCGCTTTTACATAGCGTACATTCACATCACAACATATAAACATACATTTGGATGAAAATCTTAAGTTGTGTGAAGTGCATGTATATTCTATTGGGAAATGTACATTTTGGTCTTATAACTAATTACAAAACCTTAAATGGTATTTAAACCTGAGAACAAAAGTGTAATATTTATTGATAGAAAATTCCTCCCAAAATGAGGACAAAAGTCCCAGGAGAGGTCCGGCTCAGAGTAGTAGTTTAAAATATAGATTGGGTAGTTTATTATTAATGATGGGATTAATGTGCGGTACTCGCATAGATGTGGTTGGGGGACATCCCGTTAGCAACCAGGTGATGGAAGGCTTGTGGGGAATATTTCTGTCTCTTTGCAGAAGGATGTACCCGATGCTCGTTGGGGTGAGTTTGGAATGATCTGGAGCTACACAGCTGAAGGAACCTGATGTGTTCTGACAGAAGGAGGAGGGGAACCATGGACTTTTGTTCCCCATGGTCCCTGTGTGTGTTGTAAAGTAGCCACCCTCCAGAAGGAAGGACAGTGTCAGCACCAATTCAGAGATGATTTGAGGATCTACAGCCGAGTGATACACAAATAAGATACATTTTTGATAGTAGTTAAGGTACTAAAATGTATTTTTAAGATTTGACTCCTAAGTTTAGTGTCACTTTAGGGAACCTTCCCTATATTATACACTAGATGTTATAAACGTATTGTCAGAGCTGGACAAATCCCAGGAGCCAGGTAGCCAGTGCTCCATAAAAATATACCCGGTACCTAACTTCAGAGGTTTTCTCGAGTTGCTGGCTTCTGAACTGGACAGACTGGGTTCTGAATTCCATATTCATTTGTCCACCCCTGCATGTTGGCTTTTGTCAGCTACAGTGCAGTCTTGTTTACCACAGTATATTTCTGTAGTGTAGTAGATAATGCTATTTTTTTTCTTTTCTCAGACTGGTGCGCTGGATACTTCTGAAGCTGCTGCAGCGCTTGTACCTGAACCTCCAGCTCCATTGCGGCCAGGTGGCCACGCTGCGAGAAGTGTCAGCTGCGGTGAGCTGACCCCTCTTTTTTATAGCTCTGTATAACTCATGACAGTGATGCTAAGCAGTATGTTACAATGGCTTTATGGCCAAAATTAAATATTTAGCATTTGAACCCCCTTATGCCCACTTTACTTCAGACATACGGCAGGTTTACTATAAGGAGCAAAACAGGTATCAAGTGAAACTAAACATTCTGAAACAGACTGCAGTTGTGCTAAAATCAAGTAGTTCACTTTATTTACCATCATAGATGTTCAGTGTTATACGCTGCAGCTACTCGAGGTCTAACTTAGCTCCCTAAAGGGCCACTGTGATAGGTTTTTTAATTCTGATACTTGCGCCAAGTAACTTCTTTTCTATCTCTCTCGTGTCACCAATCACGTTCAGACTTCCAAGACAGCTTTCAGTCTGATTGGTGGCTCCGAGAAACCTCCTTTTATGCTGAAAATTTGTTACATTACTTTTTCGATATGTAAGAGACATTCAAGAGCTTACCTACTTTATAAATAGAGGTTGGATTAGATATAAGTAAAAATGCATAGCAGTGTGTTGCTGTTGGTCTAGTTATCTAATGGTCAGGGCTTAAAAATCCGCTCATCCTCTCGTCTGACGAGAGGACGCCGGAGCCAGACGAGTAGCTTCCAGGCAGGAAGGAGCTTTACATTGAAACGATCGGGCATCTCTAGAGACGCCCAATCGCTTGTGTTAGCAGCTGTCACTGTCGTTGCCGGCCCCGAGATCCGCTGTTCCCGGTGCGGTTGGGACCGGCATGGCTGCACTGTGATAGGAGATCAAAGTGAGATCGGTACACAATCTCCCTCTGAACTCCTCCGGTCCCTGAATGCAGGAAGTGATGTACATTACATCACTTCTGTATTCTGCTGACACTCTCCAGCTTCACAAGCTGGGGAGAAGCCGTTGAAGCAGATCTCTGCTTCATCAGCTTCTCTGTGGGTCCCTAGGGGACATTAGGGGTCTTGGAGACCCCTGATGTCTCTATAAAGAGGACCTGCGATGTAAATTGGCTATCACATGTGATAGCAATAACGTTAAGTGTAATAAAAAAATTAAAGACGCATAAAAAAGACACCACTATTTTATTTATTTTTAAAGTCCCCCTGCCCCGCACATAAACATGCGTCGGGTGCACCAACGTGCACATGTTACATATCGCCGCAAACTTAGCAGTAAGAGCAATAATTTTAAGGCCATGAATCACTGATAACACTAAACTGAGGAGCGGTTAAAGCGTCATCTATGGACAATTTTCAGTGTGGTTGTTTTTTGCAATTTTGCGGGCGCACACAATTTTAAAGCTTGACATGTTTGTCTATTTACCCGACGTGACCCCGTCTTTTATATTTTACCAAAAATACGGGTAAGAATAAATGTTTTTAAACATTTTTTTTTTTTGTTCTGTGTCCCTAAAAAACATAAATTGCAAGGCTGTAGTCCGGTCATGCTGTCTGGTGACGTTTTTGACTGACTGGTGAGACACCCTAAAATTTTTCCAGCCCTGCTAATGATGCAAAACAAACAGACAGACAGCTCCTTTTCCTCCTGTAATACTGTTTTCCTCAGGGCTCTGAGGAAGGGGGTGGGGGGGATATCACCCGAAACGCGTCAGCTAGCTAGGTAGCCTCTGTGGGGATCTGCCTTGTATCATCCATCTGGATACAGGGGTGTGGAAATTTTAGAAAAAACTACTTGTCCAAGGACTAAAGCGGGGGCCGAATCTACTTGTCCCTCATGACAATCTACTTGTCCTGATACAAAAAAATAATTTTAACCAAAACCGTATTTAGCAGTGCTAAATATAATTATGTGAGTAGTTTTTTTTATGTCAATTTTCAATTCAATTTGAATATCATGGTATTATACGAGGAGAAGGCGCTGTCTGTCTGTTTTGCATGTCTTGTGAGGAAACTCCCCAGTGGCCTTTTGATGATGGCAGCCTGCCGACAATTGATGTTGGAGAACATCGCATTGGGAGTCTGCTGAGCGCTGTGGTGTGCAGTTTTTGGGAACATTAGTTATATAATGATTGTTATAATGCTTAGAAAGTTTACTGCTGGCTGTAGACAGGAGATGTCTTCTTAAAATCAACAAGCAGGGAGACATCTGCCTGTTTTGTGGCTCCTACTGTCTCTTTACTGACTTTACCTAAAGAAGAACTCCAGAAAAAAAGAAAAATGAACCTTTGCAGTGTAGCTATCCCTGTACTGCAAGTGTAAAGTGCTAGTTTATGTCTAAGTTAGAAAATAACAAAGTTTATAATCACCCAAAGCTCCGAGCCGTCCAGCTGTCGCAGAGCTCCCTCCAGCCTGTCTCCTATGATTCAGCATTGGAATGTTCCTCAGAGTCCTCTCGTCTATACACAATATATAGAACGTGATGATTTAGACCGCTGCAGAGGAGGGAGAGAGGTTGGAAAGGAGCAGTCTAAGAACTAGCCGGCTTCACGGTTCTGGTGAGTAAAGCTTCTTCTTTTTTTTTTTTTTACTTAAACAAACACGAGAAGTTAACCCTCGCAGTGCAGGGCTAACCCCACTGCAAGTGTTAATACAAACTTTTCCTGGAGTTCTTCTTTAAAGCTGAACTTTGGGCACAAGACATGTAATTGTAATATATTCCTCATTAGTCACTTTGTGTGCATTAAATGCCCTTGAACGGCCAATTATTGCCATGTAAAAGTAGAGATGACATCAACACTGTGCTGCACGTAGCCGGTGTGAAGAACAGAGTTGTGTGAGGGGACCCAACAGGCTCCGCCCACTACAGGCTGCCTGCAGAAAACTACAGGAGGGGGCGGAGACAAGATCAGTAGCCCTGCATAAAGAGAGAGAGAGCAGCGGTGACCGACCGGTCTTTATCACGGCTCAGGAGGCTCTTGAGGTAGACTCGCACTGGATTACTGCTCCGATCTGGGAGAACGATTCAAAGCTCCTCAAGATTCGAGTAACAAAAGCACATGCTTCTCGTATTTAGGCAATGCTTGCTTACCCTGTGTGTAGTAACAGGCACTTTGACACTGAAAGAGTTTGTCATCACTTCTTTTCCTTTCACAGCTGTCCCATTGGCCAATTTATCTCCCCCCCCCCCCCCCCGTGTACGAAGCAGATCTGTAGGATGCACGCATGGTTTTATACTGCCCACCAAACAGTTATTGGTTGTATGATATAGGATTATTTTGGCTTGGCTAGTTTTATGTGATGAGGACATAAATTTAAGCAGAACATTTGCTATTTTTCTTTAGTCTTTTCCAATATTCTATTGCATGGGCACTTTATGCAGAGGTTAGAGAGTACACAGAGCCATTCACTGAAGGACATCACCAAGGGAGCTTTCAGCAATAACATTGCGTAGGTAAACACAAAATATATTCCACTCATAAATGGTCCATTCAAACACTTAATGTATTTGTAGAGCGAACGTAATCGTTACATTATTACTGCTTTATACTGCATATGTAAATATCTTCAGATTAGATGCAACAATAACTAAACTAGCTGGGAATGTGAGGAAGATCTTTTACAGGGAAATGTTAACATGATTTCTAAGTTTTAGACAGAGTATTGTAATAAAGGTTGTATAATGGTATATAAAGTAGCTCTGACTGGAACAGGATACTTATGCATGTCTTATTTATATGTTAGTGTCCTGGAACTCCTGTGGTGTATCTGTCTACTCATCCTTCGTGGCTGGATGGCCTATTGGTCCCTCTTGTTTTACACTCCCAAAATATCAAGGTGCCCCGTGTGGCCTGGGATAGGACAGACTGCCCCCGATTACTCAGGTATGTAAGGCATGCTAAAGTTGCATTGCCTAAGCCTGCTCATACACGGTTCTAGTATACACCAATCAGCCGAAACATTATGACCACTGACAGGTGAAGTGAATAACATTGATTATCTTGTTGCAATGACAGCTGGAAGTGGGGGGGATATTTTAGGCAGCAAGTGAACATTTTGTCTCTCTGAGGTTGATGTGTTGTAAGCAGAAAAAAAAGGGTAAGCGTAAGGGTTTGAGCAACTATGACAAGAGCTAAATTGTAATGGCTGGATGACTGGGTCAGAGCAACTCCAAAACTGCAGCTCTTGTGGGTTGTTTCCGGTCTGCAGTGGTCAGGACCTACCAAAAGTGGTCCAAAGAAGGAAAACCGGTGAATCGGTGACAGTGTCATGGGCAGCCAAGAGTTGATACGAGGGTGTACTATGTGAAGAGGACCAGCCGGCAGAGGTAGTTTGACGCTTTGGCCAATGTTCTGCTTGGGATTCATGAGGATGATACTTTGACACGTGCCATCTATCTAAACATTGTTTAAAACTGTATTTGCGAATGGCAGTGGCCTTTTTCAGCGGGATACACCATGTATGTCTTATTTATATGTTCGTGTCCTGGAACTCCTGTGGTGTATCTGTCTACTCTACGCAAAATCAAATTCAGGGTGTTGCCTTGGCCTCCAAATTCTCCAGATCTGATTTCACTTGAGCATTTGTGGGGTGTGCTGTAAAAACCAGTCCGCTCCATGGAGGCCTCACCTCACAACTTACAGGACTTACAGGATCTGCTACTGGCTTGGTGCCAGATACCACAGCGTACGTTCAGAGGTCTAGATGACTCCATGTCTCGACAGGTCAGGGCAGTTCTGACGGCAACAGAGGGACCTACTAAAATGTATTTAATATGTCTGAGGCATTGCTTATATGCCAAATACTTCTAACCCTTTGGAGCTTCCCTTATGAAATTTGTTAAAATGCCTTTTGATGGATGCCCTAATGGGTTAAAAGTAATTAACATGCAAGCAAGGCCCCAGACATGATCAGAAACTTATCAGGAGATATATTGTATATTTTAGAAATGTTGTCACCAAATGGGCTAAATAAGGAACTAGAAATGGGAACGGTCATGTGATTAGGATTTATGGTTAATTAACTTGCCATTTAAGATTTTCTCTTTTAAAGGTTTTTTTATAAACTTTTTATAGTTTGTATAAATATTTATTAATTTTTCTAGCTTGCATGAAAAGATTTATCCTAAAATAATCGTAACCTTGGAAATCTTTCATAATGACTTGTTACAATTTTAGGTAGAATGGAGTGTTTATTTCACGTAACGACCCAATGAATAATCTCAAAGTGCACCAACTTCGTGTAGAACTTTTTAATCCTCAAATAAAAACTAAGCATTGTACTCTGAAATAAAAATGTGTTACATTGGCATGAGAGCACACAGTGCTGACCCCTCCAACTTGCTGCATGTGGCCACCAGCAAACAGGCTGAGCGATGTTGGAACTGAAGACTGGGCACTACAAGTACCTCTCCACTACAGCGGCTTTCTTCCCATGTTCTTACCGTCAGCGTTCGCCTACTCCAAGATACGTCGTGATATTGTTAGGGGCGCACTATGGGGGACCTTCCCCTTCATCAGCCAGACACTGGAAGACTACTAGACAGCAGATCGTTTTTCATTGGCAGCTAACATTCTCTGCTAACACAGCAATCATCAGTGTTCTGAATCGCATGTTTATACTTGTATACCTTCATATGGATACACAGATACCATTTTTTTTTTTTTTTGGTATCGAGTACAAATATTTTTTTTTTGCTACTTACCAATACTGGAAGTCCCATTTAAGGAGGCTTAGCCAGGAAGCCGGCTTGTTCTTTTTTGTTCTTGCATTGTTAACACTTGGTTTTGTTTTATTGTTTTCTCCTTTTTTATAAGAAGCCCAAAACTTTCCGAACTTTTGTTTTTTGTTTAGAGCAACTTTATCTTAACCCCTTAAGGACAACGGCCTTTTTTTCCATTTTTTTGTGTACATGTTATATTCCACATTTTTAAAATAAAGGTAAAACCCCCAAATATTATATATTTTCTGAAAGCCAAGACCCTATAGAATAACATGGTGGTAGTTGCAAATTTTTATGTTGCGCGACATTAGCGCAACTGATTATCAAACCCAAAAACGTAGTGAAAAATGCACTTAAGTTAAATTTAGTGCCCCAAAACACTTACCCAACAGATACCCAACATGCCCAGGTTAAAAATTGAGCGCGTCCGTGAAACTGCGACAAAATTCAGTACCCCAAAAAGTCCATACACAACGCTTTAAAAGCCTCTACAGGTCATCAGCTTGGAGATGCATGTAAATATTGTCCCTAGAATTATTGCTCTCTGGTGTGTGCGGCGATACCCAACATGTGCAGCGCAATCAGTGTTTACGTGACAACGTGCATGCTCGCGGGGACTTTACATTTTTTTAATTTTATTATTATTTTTACATTTACTTTTAATATTGTTTTTAAAACTTTTTATTTTAAACTTTACTTTAATTGCCATCACATAAGGGGACTTACAAGCCCCCCATGTGATAGCATATTGGTGGTGACAGGTACTCTTTAAGGTGATACTGGGAGTCCAAAAGACTAGGGCTGCAGCTAACGATTATTTTCAAAATCGATTAGTTGGCCAATTAAGTTTGATTAATCGGAGAGGGGAAAAAAAAAAAAGGCTCCAGTGATGAACTACTAGTTTGTATTAAGATTGTAGTCCATCACGGGAGCAAGCTTGGACAACAAATGCCAGCAATAGTCCTTTATACTATAATCCTTTAGTCCTTTATACTATAATGTACTATTGCGTTGTATATAATGTATTATTGCTGGGATTTGTAGTCCTCTATAGCTGGTGGTATTCTCTATTCCGCTGCATAATGATTATACGGCGCAATGCAGAATACCAATGACCAGCTATAGAGGAACAACAAATCCCAGCTCACGCCCGCCGCTCACGCCACGCCCACGTTGGTTAAGCTGCTCACGCCTACACCGGTAAACCCGCTTACGCCACGCCCACCGCACACGCTGAGGACATGCGTCTGGCCCTCTCCTCCCGGTGAGCTTCCCGACTCGTCGCTGCCCTCCGACAACCAACAACGCCGCTGCCCGCCAACAACACCGTCATTCAAGGTAAGTCGAGGTCGGCGGGAGCTTTTTAATGTTTCCTGGTTTTTTTTTTTCTTTAAAGCGGCACACTGCAGAACATTAGCAGCTATAGAGGAACACCAAATCCCAGCAATAATATATTAAACAGCCTGTATAATGGATTATTGCTGGGATTTCTTGTTCCTCTATAGCTACTAATGTTCTGCAGTGTGCCGGTGTATTATACATTGGTTTTCTGCATTGCATTGTATTGTGCATGGTGTTCTGCATTGTATAATACAGCGACACACTGCAGAACACCAGCAGCTATATAGGAACACCAAATCCCAGCAATAATACATTAAACACCCTGTATAATGTATTATTGCTGGGATTTGTTGTTCCTCTATAGCTGCTGGTGTTCAGCAGTGTGCCTGTGTATTATACATTGGTATTCTGTAGAGCTGCAAAAATGATTAGCCTGTTCGCGGCTCCATACACCAACCGCGCACACGTCGCGTACCTGGCCACCGCACAAGACGGACACATGCCCGCAGATCACGCCGCCGCAGCTGCAGCGACTTACAAGGGTTCAGAAACGGGTAAGGGGGACCTGTTTTAATGTTTCCTGTTTAAAAAAAAAAAAAGTGGCACACTGCAGAACACCAGCAGCTATAGAGGAACAACAAATCCCAGCAATAATACATTAAACAGTATGTATAATATATTATTGCTGGGATTGTTGTTCCTCTATAGCTGCTGGTGTTCTGCAGTGTGCCGCTGTATTATACATTGGTGTTCTGCATTGTATTGTGCATGGTGTTCTGCATTGTATAATACAGCGGCACACGGCAGAACACCAGCAGCTATAGAGGAACACCAAATCCCAGCAATAATACATTAGGCAACCTGTATAATGTATCATTGCTGGGATTTGTAGTTCCTCTATAAGTGGTCAGTGGTAATCTGCATTGCGCAGTATATCATTATACAGCGCAATGGAGAATACCACCAGCTATAGAGGACTACAAATCCCAGCAATAATACATTATATACAACGCAATGCAGAATACCAGCAGTTACAGAGGACTACAAATCCCAGCAATAGTACATTATAATATAATGTACTATTGCTGGCATTTGTTGTATTCCTATATAGCTGCTGGTATTCTGCATTGCGCCATATAATCATTATACAGCGCACTGCAGAATACCACCAGCTATACAAATCGCAGCAATAATATATTATATACAGCACAATGCAGAATAACGCTACCTACAGAGGACTACAAATCCCAGCAATAGTACATTATAGTACCATTATACACCACACTCTTTTTTTTTTTTACTTCCACCGCGCCAAGCTTGCTCCAGTGATGGACTACAATCTCAATAGAAACTAGTAGTCCATCACTGGAGCCTTTTATTTAATATCCGATTAATCGAACCTTAATAATCGGCGAACTAATCGATTATGAAAATAATTGTTAGCTGCAGCCCTACTTGTATATTAAGAAAGCTCTAGGGACTGGTCTAAGAACAAACCGGCTCAAATGATCGGGTGAGTATAACCAGTTGTGGGTAGCCCCACTGCAAGGGTTTATAATATTTTTCCTCGGAGTTCCTCTTTAATAAACAGGCCATCCTTTTTAAGTTCAGCCATGTCCTGCAGTGATTTACCAAATGATCATGTGTTTAGATTTGGTTGGGGAATAATGAAATGAATTGGGCGTCTCAGGACCTTGGATTATATTGTTGAATAATGGATTTCCTGAGCGCTATTTGTTCTGCAGTCAGGGATTACTTAATGAGCTCCAACCGTTCCCCACTATTGAGTGACTTTAGACTTGGACAACGCACTTGTTAAGTGAGTAAGTGGCTGGGCACACTCATTGTTCATGTTTTCAGTGGGTGTGCTTAGCTCTCTTTTATATTCCCAAGGCAATGTGAGTAATGTTTTCTATGAGTCTTTTATTTCTTGTCGTTTGGGGATCATATTTTATATTTCTATACTAGTTGCTATCTGTTGGTCCCATCGGGGCCCTGCTAAGCCATTAGGGGAAGGGATTTGTTTTTATAATACAGAAAACATATTTTATGTTTGCCTTAAGCTCTGTGGCCATGCATTTTTTTTGTAGTTCTTATTCTTGTTTTTCTTTGTTAAATTGCACTAATTGGCCAATTATGTTTTTATTACAAAAAAAAAGTCGTGGGTTTAGCTCCTGGAACACAATTCTTCTTTTGTGTTTTTAGTTAATATCATGTTGTAATAATAGATGTAAAACCTCCCGTACCTGTCCCAAAAGTCATTTCTAATTGTTTAAGTTAAAAAGAAAGTGTGTATTGAAGTTTGGTGTAATGAATTTCTAAGTATTGCATAGAACCTGTTTACAGGTTTCTTCTGTAGCTTTTCACACACAAGGTTCCGACGTATCGCTGTCATAGGCTATGTAAGAACAGAACTGAGGAGGACACAAAAACAAATCTAGATACATCCATCTGGAGCAGCAAAGGAGTTCATTAAAGGGGTTACAAAGGTTCATGGGAATGGTGAAATGGGCTTTCACTTTCCTGTTTACATGATTTATGTCACTTTAAATGTATCCCAGCCTCAGATGTATCCCAACATCACATGACCTATGTTCTAACAAGTACCAGATTGCTTTGTTTGGTGTCCGCTATATATGTTTTCATGGAGGTCTTCTCTTAAAACGGTAATTACAGTGCTGTAAAATGATTTTTATAGGGAATTGTGTTTTTCCAGTTTACTTTACTGCAGTTTTTGCAATCCCTGTATGTCTTTTTAAAGTGACATTAAAGTCAAACTTTTTTCCTCCCTTCCCAATCCTGCTGTTGGGACTTACCTTAAATGATGTCTCTTGATCCGATCATCATAATCTTCTTTACTGTCCTTTTCAGCTGTTCCTCCAGTGCTGGTGCGGGTCTTTGATCCAGCGCTGATTCCTCTGTCCTCCTCTTCTCTGACGTCCCACGGTGTCTGTGCGGGTGCACGCTGCTCCATAGAGTTACCTTGTGTCTCTCCTCGTCTCCCAGCCGAAAATCTGAAGTGCGCATCCGCCCACCCCATCATCCTTTGCGGCAGTCCGAGACTCTTCAGATGTTCGGACGGGAGCGCGTGGCAAAGACACAGGTAAGTTTAAACCCTTTTTAAAAGGTTTTAAAAAAAAAAATGTTTTTGCATATACAGTATCTACTGCTTGCCGTAAATATATGCAAAAACGTGTGAGGGTTTAATAACCCTTTAAACACTTCTGCATAATAATTATACGGGTTCAGAGTTTGCTGTACTTATGTATGTTACTGCACTTTGTTGGCTGAACTCCAGGCAGATCTAAAAGACACAAATTAATAAATAACTAGGAGGTAGGGATTTTTTGGCAGAAGTAACATCCAAAGAAGGACAATCTGGAGCAGCTGTGCACGGCAACCAATCGGCTTCTCTCTCTCATTTTTAAATCTTAACTAAACAAACTTGAAAGAAGCTGATTAGTTGCCATGAACAGCTGCTCTAGATTTTGCCTGCCCCATTTTTGATAAATTCACACCCCCATCCCCCCAATCACCCCCACAAACTCTTCTGACAAAAAAAAACCAAAAACTTTTTTCCTCTCCCCCAGCATTTTGTATCTTTTGTGTACACTGTATGACCCATGCACCATGCATTGAGGTGAGTGAGTACAATCACTACCATCTCTAAAATGCTGATGCCAGGTAGGATGTAACTACTCTGCCGTTATTATTATTATACAGGATTTATATAGCACCAACAGTTTGCGCAGCGCTTTACAATATATGGAGAGACTCTACAACTACAATACCATCCAAAATGGATTAGAAGGACCCTGCTTGTGAGAGCTTACAATCTACAAGGAAGGGCATGTGACACAGAAGGTAATAACTGTGGGGGATGAGCTGATTGAAGAAGTAGATGTACACTTTTTAAGAGGAGGTGTAATAGGCTTCTCTGAAGAGGTTGCGGAATCCACACTGATATGCCAGTTAGTATTCCTGTGATGTGTGATGAATGGGTGAGCTGAGGAGTGCAGAGATAGATTTCAGTGTCATCGGCATAGAGATGATATTTCAAGACATGGGAGATTATCAGCTGACCCAAGGGAGGATTTGTAGATAGAGAATAGAAGGAGTTTGAGGACAGTGCCCTGGGGCGCTCCTACTGACAGAGGGAGAGGAGGTGGTGGAGTTGTGACAGTGAAGGTGCGCTGAAATAGGAGGAAAACCAGGAAAGAAAAAAAGAAAAGTAGAGTCTTTGAGGCCAAGGGAGTGGAGTTTTTTGAGCCATGTGCAGGAATAACGTTAATCAGTGGCCAAAGAGGATGCCTGGGAACCTGGAAGTGGTGGAGGGGGGCAACAGGGCCGTTTAAACAGACTCCTGGCAGCTTTTGCCACCAGGACTCTGTTTAAACTTGTAAAGCCGACTTTACGGGGCGGTAAACAGGCCCCCACCCCCGCCGTGTTTCCCGGGCTCCATTGCCCCTCCTACGGGCCCGGGTATGGCTTCTCTGGTGTCGGGGGGGAAGCTGGCGAGAGCGGTGAACCTCCGCTCACCGATCTCCCCGTACTATTGGACGGGGATGCAGATTACATCACTTCTGGTCCCATAGCTGTCATTTCCGGGCTCCTAAAGCGATCCGCACTTCAGTAGCTTATTTCAAGTGTAAAGGTGATACTAGGAGTCTTTTGGACCCCCCAGCATCACTTTAGAGAGTACCTGTCACCACCAGCTGCTATCACATGGGAGGCTTGTAAGCAATTAAAGTAAAGTAAAAAAAACTGTTTTTAAAATGAATATTAAATAAAATAAAAGTAAAAATAGTAAAAAAAAATTTTAAGGCCTGCGCGTCTTTACGTAAACACGAATAGGGTGCACCTATGTATGAAAATGACATGCTGGGCATCGCCACGCACGCTGGAGTGAGAGCAATAATTATAGGTCCAGTATTTACGCATATCTCTAAACTGATGACCTGTGGGGGGCTTTGAAAGAGTCGTCTATTGACTTTTTGGGGTACTGAATTCTGTTGCAGTTTCACGGACGCACACAATTTTTAACCTGGGCATGTTGGGTATCTATTTACCCGTTGTAACCTTATCTTTTATATTTTATTAAACAAAATGGGTATTTTATCGTGTTTTGGGGCATTTAAGTGCATTTTTCATTAAATTTTGGGGTTTGATAAGGAGTTGCGCTAATATCGTGCAACATAAAAAATTACAACTGCCACCATTTTATTCTATAGGGTCTTTTCTTTCAGAAAATGTATAATGTTTTGGAGGTTTTAAGTAGTTTTCAGGCCTAAAATGTGGATTATAACATGTAAACAAAAAAAAATGAAAAAAAGGCCTCAGTCATGAAGGGGTTAAAAATGCATTTGACATTAAACCTACATTTTTTTTTTTAAACTTCTCTTGTTTAAAGGGGCCAGACTTACTATAAAAAAAATTCACAAAGGATCTACAACCGAGTGATCCACAAATAGGATACATTTTTGTTAATAGTTAAAGGAGAACTATGAGGTGAGTGCTTTTCACTCACCTCAAAGTTTAAGCCGACCTGTGACAATGAGACTGTCACAGGTCGGCTCAGTAGATCGGGAAGTGAGCGAACACATACCGGCGTTTGCTCACCTCTCGATCCTGTCACGGCTCTCTGCCGTGACAGGGGAGGTGCTGGATTCCCCCCTCCCCACTCCGATCCGCCAGCGCTGACTCTAGATAGGCAGAGCCAGCTGTCAGTCACGCAGCTGGGCGGATCCAGACATAATTGTCGGGATCTGCTTCAGCTGCGTCGTCTCAGTACAGCTTGCGGTATACTGCGGCGTCTCAGTATACCGCGAGCTACAGCTCACGGTATACTGAGCCTAGGGTGATGGGAGGACGCTAGTTTGTGTCCTCCCGTTACCCTAAGGAGAACTATGGGGAAAAGCCTTAACCCCATACTTCTCCTTTTAAGTTACTTGAATGTATTTTTAAGATTTAACTCCTGAGTTTAGTGTCACTTTAATTCTACAGCTTGTTTAAAGGCTAAAATAGTTTATAGCCGCCATCACTCATACTTTTAAAAGTCATGTGTAGAATTTTGCTGTAAATTCTTTTTTTTTTTTTTGAAAGGCCAAGGCAGAGATCTATTGGCTGGGTCACTAATTCTCTGGTAGTAAATATTTGCAATCATCATGATATTGGTATGATAAAAGATGGATTAGTGTTTGCACAAAAAAAAAGAAATAAAACCGGGAATGTGACCCTTTTCTACTCCATCCAAAAACAAGAAAAAAGGCTGGTGTTCCCCTCACAGAAAACGGTGACCTTTTTTCTTTCTACAAATGTACTTGAATGTACAGTGATATTAGAAAGAATCTGATAAGAAGGCGTAATAAATGCCTCAGTTAAGCTGGCCTGGGCTCAAATTTCAGCTGATTCCTATAAACCGGCTAAAATCCATTCCTGCCAACAACGCCCGGCTCACCAAACTTTGATTAAAAACTTGAAGGAGTCGGGCGGAAACAAGTTGGCCATACAGTAAGTGCAGCAAATCAGCTGCTGTCACTGTTCGGATATTCTGGTTGCTGGCTGTCCAGGATCAAATAGCCTGGCAGGGGAGATTCTTCCATCCATACTTCGCTGTTTTGTCTGGATGGGGGAATCAAGTGATTTGCGCGGATGACCAGCTTACAACAGACGGAGCACCTTTGTGGGTTTTAGGGTGGAAGCGAATCAAATGTCAGTAAATGTTTTTGTTTTCTTGCGCTCATGCACAGATTTCCTCTGTAATTAACACTAACAATATCTTCTATAGATATATTTTGCAGAAACTGGGTGCTGTCTTCCTTCCTCCAGATGGACAATCCAGACATCTCCATAAAGCTGTTCTTTCTGCGGTGAGATGCAGGATTGACACGGTTTACTTATATCACTTTAAGTGGCATGTTTTTCTAGACGGCTGTTGGGGTTTACATACACTGAAGCCCCGTTCACATTGAGCGATTTATCGGGCGGTAATTCCCGCGCGACATCGCGCTCCTACGCATTTCAATGGGGCAAAGGGTCCTACTGTCGCGGGTCGTGTGTCGCTACAGCAGGACCCTTTTTGGAGCGGATTTAGCCGCGATTCAAGCTTGCTCAATGCAAGCTTGAACGCGATATCGCGCGATTTGCATATCGCGCAGTGGGAACGGGGCCTAATTCAGGAAGCACACAGTGTTTGCATTACTGTACATGTATTGCTAACCTTAAAGTGTAGGTGCAGAAAAAAAACTTTTTTTTGATGAGGAAGGATTAGAACCCTGTCAACTTTTTACTACTATCCAGGGCTCCATAAAAACAATTTTCCCCTCACTTAGTCACGGTGACAATGATTTCACCAGACAGGAAGGAAGGGATTATAAAGCTGGCAAAGTATATTGCCAGCTTTAAGGAGTTTTAAAAAGCAGTTAAAATGTGACATTGGTTCTAATACTACTACACTCTGTTATAAACCAAAACAAATAAAAGGAACCTGAGATCATGTTAACCCCGGAAGCTGCATGGGCCTCCATCCTAATCAGCTGGGGGTTTGGGGAATTCCCCGCCCAGCAGCTGACCATAAACAAAGGAGTGAGATGCTTGTGCTGATGTCATTGACCTTTTATTGCAACATGGCCTTAATATTCACCTAATATGGCCATATAAGGTCAATGACGTTGATGCATCCCGCCCATTTGCTTACATGCAGCTGCAGACGGGGAATGCCCTGGCCTCAGCTGATTGGGCATCAGAGGGAGGAGTGCCCCTCTTATGGCAATGTGGGTCTCTTTTGTCTAAGTCCATCTCTCTTCTGACATTGTACCTATGTCTCCCCAACACAAACTCATCTGCATTTTGTTTTTATTTTGGCAGTATACGGAGACATTTCTGGCAGATGGACAGTCTTTGCTGGTGTTTCTGGAGGTCTTGTTCTCTCCAAGTTGCCACACCTTATCCCCAGTCGCTTGTGATTGGGTCTGGACAATGATGACAGCTATGGAGTCTGGAAAAGTGCCAGACATTCTCATAGTTCCAGTGGGGATTTCCTATGATAGCCGTCTTGAATTTTCCAGTGCAGGACAGGTATATTTTTCTAGTGTATATGTTAATACAAGTTAACATCTTTTCACTATTTAATTGCTGTCCTGTTTCATATTTTTAGGTGGATTCAGCTTTAAAAGTGTTCCGCTTTGTATTGTCTGCCTTATGCCCCTGGACCACTACTCTGGGCTGTGCTCGTGTCGATTTTGCTCAGCCTTTTTCATTACAGGTACAATTATTTGATTCTTCTAGGGTACAAACCTCTACAAAAATCTCTATTACATTTTATTGTGGCGAATGAGTTGCACATTTACTGTTGTGAAATAAAAGTAACCAAACATATCTAATTTAAAATAATTTTCATCTCCTGAAGCAATGGGGTTGAGATTTTCTTTTGTAAGCAGCACACATGAATATAAAATGGCTAAACTATGGGTGATCCATTGAAGCAACATTAATATATCAGTATGAGAAGGTGTTCAAGCAGACATCATTACCCAATAGCCAGCACCACAAGGCACCTGCATGTATCTTTTTCTTCTAGCTTGTTGTCTACTCATGGAGGCAGGGCACTATGAAAACTGTTTGACCTTCTTCTCAGTTAAACCATTCACAGTTCCTACCTTGCCTCATATATTTTTATTTTCCTGCATTGCTTTGCTTCAGTGCTTACAAATCCTTCTGCCCAAGTTCTGTAACTACCTTCTCCGGCATTGCTGAGAACATGAGCACGAAAAGAGGGTGATCCATTGAGGTAACTTTAATGAGTCAGTATGAGAAGGTGACATTACCTATTAATCGGTGCCACAAGGTGCCTGCATGCATCTTTTCCTTTTAGCATGCGAGGACACAAATACTGAGGTTTAGTTGTCTACTCAGGGAGGCAGGGCACTAAGAAAACATTTTGACTTTCTTAGGTAAACCATTCATAGTTTCTGTCTTGCCTTATATTTTAATTGTCCTGCATTACTTTTGCTTCAGTGTTTACAAATCCTTCTGCCCAAGTTCTGTAGCCACCGTCTCCAACACTGCTGAGACCATGAGCATGGAAAGAGGGTGACTTCTTGTCCATCCTCTTTCCTATGAGATATTCTTGCCTCTGTGAGATGTTCTCCGTTCTGATACATGTCGGTGGCTAGGGCCCTTCATGCATTCCAAGTCACATGATGAGAAGGGAGAGCTTTTTTCCAGCTGAGCATTTGTAAAGTTTGGTCTTGCTTACCCTGCTGTTGAGCAGGAAGTCCCATCTAGTTATCTTCCTCTCCAGACCATGTGCAGGAGCTTCCATTGTGTCATCTATCATAGCCTGCCTCTGGTAATTTCTTGGATCACCTTTCCATGGGCCTCTTGTAGTGGTCTCTGGAGGGCTAACCATGAAGCCCAGAGTTGTAGATAAGGATTCCTATTCCTCCCTCTAGTCCTTTTTCTGCGTTGGCCAGTAGTGCTGGGTCTTCTACCATATGTGTGCTTTCAGTGATTTAACTTCCAGTCTCATGGTGATAACATATTGCCCTCCTCTGACATAGCCTTGGGTGAAGTGCAGCATTTTCAGCTGCAATAGCAATTTTGTGAATATTCAGGTGGATGCCATTGGCTGCTGATGTTTAACAACCAGTCAAAACAGATCTGCAAATCAGTCTGATATTTACTTTTGCTGTCTTTTTCAAGAGACACGAATCTTTTATTGCAAGTGAGCATTTTATTCTAGTGCAAGTTGAATAACGCCTCCAAAACACATATATAAAATAAACTTTTTATTACATTACATAATTGAAACAGCTAGTCAGAAATCAACATTTTGAAATCCTATTAGTGCAGTGGCTGGAAGGATTCGTAACCTCACCATCTGAGCAGTATAATATTGTCTGGCGGCTGGCAGACTTTACAGGTGAAACTCGAATAATTAGAATATCGTGCAAAGCTCATTTATTTCACTAATGCAACTTAAAAGGTGAAACTAATATATGAGATAGACTCATTACATGCAAAGCAAGATAATTCAAGCCGTGATTTGTCATAATTGTGATGATTATGGCTTACAGCTCATGAAAACTCCAAGAACCCCAAATCCACAACCTCAAAAAATGAGAATATTGCATGCAATCAATAAAACAAGGATTGTACATAGAACAATATCGGACCTCTGAAAAGTACAAGCATGCATATGTACTCAGTACTTGGTTTGGGCCCCTTTTGCAGCAATTACTGCAATTACTTTTGCACGATATTCTAATTATTCGAGTTTCACCTGTATATCTTTGTCAGTTTAATTGCATGATGGTTGACAATTCTGATCTAATCTGGTGGATCCAGAGATACTTGCAGCAGCCTTCCGGACATTCCTGTCACAGCTGAATCTCAGGCTATTCTGACATGCAAAACTTTGGCACTTCTGATAATGCTGACATTCCTATTGGCCACTGAGGTGTCTTGAGGTTTTGCCTTTCAAAACGGCCCACACGGGCGTGGAAATGTAAAAAAAAATAAAAAATACTTTAGACTAAATCCCAATCTACTTTTCCCTCGTGACCATCTATGTGCTTGTTGTGATACAAAAAATAATCTTAACCAAAACTGTATTTACCAGTGGTAATTTGCGAGCGAAATTCAGAATACATGGCACAGGTCAGCACTGGACGGCAGTATGGAGTACATAGTTGAGGTGGAGAGGGGGGCCAGATATGAGCGGGTAATTCCATTTTCCCAAATTACTTGGGAAAGTAAATTTCCCCTTAAATGCACAACAATGCCTGGCTACAACAATATGGCACACAGTGGAATGGGGACAGCACTCAGCGTACACACACAATGCCCTAGACGTGCGGTAATTTGCATGTAGATGGCGGGCGCAGTGGGGTTGGTTTTAATTTTTTTTTTTTATTATTTATTTTCTTTACTTTAACATTTTTTTATTCATCTTATCTTTTACTTTATTTTTTTAATTTATGTTTTACTTTATCACTTTTTAAAAATTTTTATATTTGTTATTTTTTTACTTCTACTTATTTTGATATTTTTTTTATCTTTTACATTTTTATTATTTTTTTCCACTTTTTTTTTTCCACTTAGCTCCTGTGTGATAGCAATAAAGTTAACAAGCCATTGTGTGATAGCATTCGGAGGTGACAGGTTCTCTTTATGGAACCTGTCAACTCCAATACAGGAGTTCTAGCACGATCTCCTGTGACAACTGAGATGGGAAGGCAGCAGGTACAGCTCTCCTGTCTCACTGTTCACACGGAGCAGAGCGGAGAATAGATGTTCTCCGCTCTGCTCCCCGTTCTCCATCCTCAACTAATTTGCCGTATCTGGGGTCCCCCAGAAGAGCAGCAAGTCGTGACGGTGTGACAGAGACGTTTAAGATGACTTGTACAAAATGGCTTCCCTTCTACATTTAGCCCTGCTGCTTGCCCGAAGCAGGGCTAAATGTAGGGGTAAAAAAACTACACGCTTGGCGCCCGGGACTACATGTCCTGGGCGTCGGGCGATAGGAATTTTACACCCCTGTGCCCAGTATTCACCTGTGACAGGAAGATCTGTTAAAAGAGAACTATGGCCCAATGTTTTTTTGCCATAGTTCTCTTTTACGGTCAAAGGGAAATTTACTAATTTGTGCTGGGTTGCCGAGATCTGAAATACTCTTTACCAAAAGCTCCCAGTCACTGTTTATGGTTGGAAGCTGGTGGCGCGGGCTCTTGATCACATGACAGTCAGTCCATCACCGTAACCACATGACCGGAAAGCCTATGTAATGCCTGTGACATTACGAACTTTTAGATGGCCGCCTTCCACCGGTTGGAAAGGGTTAAAGAAGAGAGAGCACAAATAACAAATGATTCGGGTTGTTTTTGTATATTAGGTAAGTTACTTTTTCTATTAGCATTCCCCCCAGCTTCACCAACTGTGACAAAATTGTTGTGAAGTCTACAGTTCTTTAAGACATGTGTTGCCTTGTTCTTTCAGGAATACGTGAGTAACTACAAGTGGAAGCATTTATCTCCAGTCCCTTGTTTACGAGATGCTCTTCTGCCTTATATCCTGGGTGTGAGGTAATGAAAAAAGTAAAACCAGTAATGTCAGGGTTTCATTAAATGTTACCATAGCATAGTAACATAAAGTGCATGTAAGGTCCGACCCTTGCTGATGACATGCCACCAATTCTTATTTGTTTGCTTCATAAAGCAGTAGAAGGTCACATAGTGCTATAGCAAAGCCTCTGAATGTTCCGTTACACTGCAAAGACTGTCTGAGCTCAAGAATATTTCTGTTTTTTAGTATTAGATATTGCATAAACAGGTCTCTGAATCTTGCTGCTCAGCAGTTCAGTTGTACTTGATTTAATGTGATACTAAAAGGAGGAGTTAAATCTTAAAAATACATTCACATTGTGCCTGCGGTCTGATCCTGTGCGGTGCGATCAAAATGCTACAAGCACTATTTTGATCGCACCGTACCGAACCGCAGACACAATGTGCCTTGCAATCCCGTGCGGCGGATCGCATTGCGGCCGAAAGGCGTGGCTACGGCGCCATTCACTTGAATGGCCTGCCACGCCCCCTCCTATGCCACTAAAAAGTGAGCCGCCCGCAATGCGAGGCAGTGCGTTCCGCCCAAAATCATGCCGGAATGCACTGCATCTAGTGTGAATGAGCCCTTAAAGTGTATATGCCTTAAAGGCCATTTTTATTTTATTTTTAGAAAAATGGGGAAGTTTTTACTGCTGTTTGCAAGAAGTAAGCTTCATCCTTCTCTTTGTTCTGGTGACGATTGTCACCAAAACAGAAAGTGATGTTTAATCAAAAAAGTTGTCATCAGAACAATAGGGAGCAATATCAGAGCAAAATGCTCCAGTGGGGACTCCGTTTCCTATGATAACTGTCTAAAATGTGATTTCCATTTACTTTGGAGTGATTTCTTTTCATTTCCTGTTTCTTCTCCGGGACAGGGAATCTTCCCAGCTGGGAGCAACCGCAAAAAATAACTCGATAGGGTTTTCATAGAATAAATGCGTGTGGATTCTTACTTGAATATTGGGGAGCTTTGTGTATTTCTGCCAGATCTGTGCAGCAATCCATTGTGAGACTTGGAGGTTCCTGTAATAGACTGGTCACGGTTGCTCCCTCACCTTATGCAGGGGGACTGGTCTTGTCTCTGCCCTCTTGTTTACATACACAAGCAAAGTATGAATTGTACAGTTCTGATTTTAACTCTTTTGTGGACTGTTAGTGGTGGGATGTGTCACAGTGGTGGGTGGGCCTGGTCTCTTTGCTAGCAGTGGCAGAAGATTTCTTTGAAGCAGACTTTTTATTTTATCTTTAAATGGGCTGTTTTTTTTTGTTGGCTAGAGTTCTGACTTCGAGACAG